CCCGCGGCACACGCCAAGGACCGGCTCCGGGGAGCAGGATGGGGCCCCGCTCCGCCGGCGCGCTCGTCCTGCTCCTGCTGCTCGTCGCCTGCCCCGAGTCGCGGGCTTCCCAGGTCAGTGTCCCGCCTCTCTGCCCGCCCGCTGGCACGGAGGCATAGCCAAGGCCGCGAGGACCCGGGCTGGCCCTATTCCACTTGGATGCTTGGGCGTGGGGCTTCGCGCGATTCCTGGGCTGGGGTTCAGTTTTCTTACGGGAGGTGCAATGCCCGTCTTGTATCACCCCGGATGCCGACTGTTCCAGGCGTCTAGGCGGCCCCGGTTGGGATCCGCGCCCGACCAGCAGAGCAGTTTGTGCTTAGATCCTTGGTTGGTCCGCTTGAGCATCGCAGGTTGGAGAAAAATTCCTTCCGGCTTTTTTCTGGGGGGTGGGGGGATGGCCTCATACAACTCTCATCACAATCCATCCATCCATCCATTGTGTCAAGCACATTTGATATTTGTTGCCATCATCATTCTCAAAACATTTGCTTTCGACTTGAGCCCTTGATATCAGCTCCTCATTAACCCCCCTTCCCTTGAACCCTTGATAATTTATAAATTATTATTATTTTATCATATCTTACACTGCCCTACATCTCCCTTCACCCACTTTTCTGTTCTCCATCCCCCAAGGGAGGAGGTTATATGTAGATCCTTGTAATCGGTTCCCTCTTTCTACCCCACCTCTGGCTTTATGAGATCTGGATCTTTCCTGGGTCCTCCTGAGAGCACTCAGTCACCCAATTAAGTTAGATCTCCCTGCCTTCTAGCTCCCAATAAACTGAATTGTCATTTTTCCCATCATCAGCTCCTTACACACACACACACACACAGTTGGCTGTATTCCCAAGGCTGGCCTGGACAGGCGGGTTCAGAAGCAGTCATATCTTGAGCCTGAGAGGTCTTGGATCAGGGACTCCACCGTCTCTCACACACAGAAACAGGCACCTTGTGGTTTCTCTTTCCGTATTTTTATTTGTTCAAAAAGCCCTACTGGATTAATTTGCTTGGCTAGATTCAGCTTTAAATGACTTATTCAGAAGCAAAACCCTCTAACCAGTTGCTGTCTATGATGGCATGGTGGGTACATGCTGGGCTGCTAACTGCAAGGTGAGCAGGTCAAAACCACCTGGAGAAAGTCGAGGCTTCCTCCTCCTGTGAAGACTTCCAGTCCTGGAAACACACCCAGACAGTTCTCCTCTACCCTAAGGGCTGCCATGAACCCGGACAGTTCTTCCCTCCCCTAAGGGCTGCATGATTCGGAAGTGACTGCAAAGCTAGGGGGTGCGTCTCAAGCCCAACCCACACCTCAGGGACGCAGGGAGCAGGGAGCAGAGCTGTGAAGGAGTTGGAGGCATGGACAGACGTACCTCCCAGCCTGGGCTGGCCTGGGCAGCAGTGTGGACAGAAGGCAATGAGATGCTTGAGGTGGGGGCCCAGCTCGGATCTGGTCTTAGCTGCTTGAACCTACCCCACCCACCCCTGAATGGGCTTCAGACCTCTCTCCCCAGGTGACCCGGAACACAGGGGAGACCATGGCAGTTCTCAGAGGTTTGCAGCTCACTCAGGCTCTGCTTCCGGAAAGCTGGGCACAATCCTTGCCCTGCCACAGCCAAACATGACCAGATTTCTCCTTCACAAAAGCCCCAGCCTCACTGGGCTTCAGGAGAAGGAAAGGGAGCAAAAGGGAGTGTCTCACGAAACAGCCCTTCCCTAAAACCTGTACTGGGGATTTTAGCTCCTGTGTGTGTTTGGCTGCAAGCCTCCAGGTCCGCAGTTTGAAACCCTTTTGAGTCCGGCTTTGTAACTTAGCTGCGCATCCGGGAGTCATCCATGCTGGTGTGTCTCGGCCTCGCTACCGGTTGCCGTTGATTCTTCCTCAGGAGACTCCATGCGTGGCTGACTAGTTTCCACTGTAGCCCCACGGAGGACGAGTATTCACTTTTGTTATCAACTCACTCACTGGATGCACCTCGTGTATCATTTCCAGTTTGAGGATTATGGGTTGAACTGCCACAGAAAGTCACTTCCGTTTTTGTGCCAATAGTTTTGTTTCTCTGGAACACCTAGGAGGAGGATTGCTAGGTCATGCATTTGGTAAATGTATGTTTAACTATATAAAACATGGCCAAACTCTTTTCAAGAGCAGTCAGACCATTGTATAGTCCCACCCGGCCCAGCGATCCTCCATCTCTGCCAGCACAATTCCTGTGTGTGTTTGTTTCTAAGAAGTAATGCTATCTCATGTGGCTTTCATTTGTGTTTCTCTGTTGACTAATAATATTGACCACCGATTGTCTGTCCGCGTGTTGTATTGTGGTGGCTTGTGTGTTGGTGGGATGCTGAGAGCTGTAGCACTGGTATTTCGTATGCCAGCAGGGACACCCAAGGTGAACAGTTTTCAGCAGAGATTCCAGGCTAAGAACACACTGTCCACTTTCGCCATTGGAAACCCTATGGATAAAAAAATTGTTAGAACTGAAAATCTACTGAATGGAATCAGAACATTATCAAAGGTAGTGTCAGAAATGAGTCCTCGGGTCCAAAGGCACCCAACATATGACTGAGCAAAAGCGACTTCTCAAAGGAGAGTCGCCCACGGTGACTTGGAGGGAGTAGAGCCTGGTGGAGTAAAGCCTTCAGGACCTTCATTTGCAGATGGGACGCACCTCAAAATGATAAGAAATGCTGCAAACATCAATTAATCATTGGAATTTTGAATGTACAAAGCATGAATCTAGAAAAATCAAAGTCATTAAAAATGAGATGGAATGCATAGAGATTGATAGATATATATATATATGTATTTTTTGAGATTGATATTTTAGTGAGCTGAAATCGACTGGGATTGGCTATTTTGAATCAGAAAATCACATGGTTTACTATGCTCGGAGCAATGCAAATCAAGAGGAATGGCGTTGCATTCATAGTCAAAAAGGACTTTTAAGATCTATCTTGAAGACCAATGCTGCCTGTGAGAGGATACTATCTACCTGAAGGCAAGGAAATCCAGTCAATATGCCTATTATTCCGATTTATGCACCGCCCACGCAAGCTCGGGAAGCAGAAAGAGAAGCGTCCTACCAATGTCTTCAGCTCGAAATGGACCCAATGTGAGATCAAGATGCATTGATAGCGACAGGCAATTTGAATGCAAAAGTTGGAAACAAAGAGGAAGGAATAGCAGTCGGCAAACATGGCCTTGGTGATAGAAAGAAACAAAGTTGGAGGCTGCATGATAGAATTTTGTAAGACCAATGACTTCTAATACCCTTTTTCAACAACACAAATGGACTGTGCCCATGGGCTCCTTCTCAAATTGACTACACCTATGGGAAGACACACTAGGGGAGCTCAAAATCAGCAGCCAAAACCAGGCCAGGGGCTGACTGTGGACCAAACCATCAATGACTCATATGTAAGTTCAGGTGGAAGTTGAAGAAAATGGGAACAAGTCCATGAGAGTCAAAACACAATCTGCAGTCTATCCCATCTGAGTATCAAAAACATCTCAAGAACAGATTTGCATTCAACACTAATGACAGAAGACCTGTTGAGTTGTGGGATGACTTTAAGAACCTCATACATAAGGAAGCAAAAGATCATTCAAAAGACAAGAAAGAAAGAAAAGACCAGTGTGGGTGTCAGAAGAGACTCTGAAACTTGCTCTGCATCGTAGAGCAGCTAAAGCAAAGAGAAGAAAGGAAGGCAAAGATCTGAACAGAAAATTTCAAAGGGCAGCTCAAAAAGACAAAGTAAAATATGATGATGCAATGTGCAAAGCCCTAGAGTAAGAAAACTGAAAAAAAGAAGAGCCCCCTCAACGTATCTTAAACTGAAAGAACTAAAGAAAAATGTCAAGCCACAATTGGCAATACTGAAATATTTTGTGGGCAAAATATTGAATGATGCAGGAAGCATCAAAAGAAGACGCTGTGCCAGAAAGAACTAGTCGACATTCACCACTCTGAGAGGCAGCACATGGGCAAGAACCAATGGTTCTGAAGGAAGAAGTCCAAGCTACACTGAATGTATTAAGCAAAAGCAAGCCTCCAAGAATAGGTGGAATACCAATTGAAATGTTTCAACAAGCTGATGAAGCAACGAAAGCACTCAGGAATGTGTGCTAGAAATTGGGAAAAGAGCTACCTGGCCAATTGACTGGAAGAGATCCATGTTTGTACTCATTCCAAAGAAAAGTTGGAATGCTCAATAGAATGCTGAAATTATAAAACAATATCATTGTATCACACACAAGTAAAATGTTGCTGAAGATTATCCAACAGTGGTTGTAGTGGTACATTGACAGGGAGCGGCCAGAGGTTCCGGCCAGATTCAAAAAAGGACATGGAACAAGGGATATCATTCCAGAGCACTTCGTGGTGCTCATGCGGAACCAGTGTATGTGGACCAAGAGGCAGTTGTTCTAACAGAGCAAGGGAATACTGCATGGCTTAAATCAGGAAAGGTGTGTGTCAGGGCTGGATCCTCTCTCCATACATATTCAATCTATGTGCTAAGCAAATAATCAGAGAAACTGGATCATATGAAGAAGAATGTTGCATGAGGATTGGAGGAAGGATTTTGAGGAAGGCTTTATAACAACCTGAGATATGCAGGTGACACAACCTTGCTTGTTGAAAGGGAGGAGTACTTGAAGCCCTTGCTGATGAAGACTAAGGATGGTACCTTCAGGATGGATTACAACTTAATGCAGAGAAAACTCAAATGCTCACAACTGGGCCAAGGGGGGATTTCATGATCAATGGAAAAAAGATTCAAGTTGTCAAGGATTTCATCTTGCGTGGATCCACAATCAGTGCTCACGAGAGCAGCAGTAAAGAGATCAGAGGACCGCATTGGGTAAATCTGCTGCACAAGACCTCTTTAAAGTGTTGAAAAGCAAGGGTGTTACTTTGAAGACTAAGGTGCACCTGACCCAAGCCACAGGATTTTTGATGGCCTCATATGCATGTGAAAGTTGGACACTGAATAAGGAAGTCTGAAGAAAAATCAATGCACTTTTGATATTGGTGAAGAATATTGAAATTTCCATGGACTCCCACAAGAACAA